GAGCTGAGGAAATATCTCTATCACTCTCTACTATCTACAACTCTTGCATCAAAAAGGGTCAGTGTCCATGTGACTGGGAAAAAAGGGGACTGGACACCAGTCAATTAAAAAGAGGATAAGAACGCCAAGGAGAATTACAGACCTGTAACTGTGCTGTCGTGTGAAAACAAAGTGTTCGAGCGCTTGCTGAGAAACCAAGTAACAACAAAGTAGGATCTTGGTGATGGCCTTACGACTTATCGAAAGCACAATAGTTGTGAAACAATATTGACCGGCTTAGTGAAGGATTGGAAACTGGCGAGAGACAATCATCTGCTAGTGGAAATATTATCAACAGATATGTCCGAAGCTTTTGATAGCTTACATCCACCGCTTATGCTGCGCAAACTAAAAGCTTACAGTTTCCAAGACAGAGCACTGGATTTGCTGCGCAGTTACCTGTGCAAACGCTTAGGGAGAATGCACATTGGGTCGGTAACTAGCTCATAGAGAAATGTGGAACGTGGCTGTCTTCAGGGATCCTTGTTGGGGCCACTGTTGGGGAACATATTTCAGAACGATCTTTCATACAACGCGGATTCTGCGCTATCAATGCACGCGGACAATCATCAAATCTATGAGAAAGGACACGACGTGTGTACTGTACTTGCCAAACTTCAGGAGAGTGCCACGCTTACGACTGATTGGTATGATTCGAACCTCCTTCAGGGAAACCTGAAAAAAAATCAAACGATGAGCATTCGGAACTAAAGTGTGACTTGTAGTGACAAAATGTGTATAGAAAATTTGAAGCTTCTGGGCGTTACGATAGATTGTGGTCTTAACTTTGATGTGCATATACGGGATGTATGTAATAAAGCTAGCCAGAGAATTGGAGTGATCACGAGGTTGAATCTCATACCAACTGAGGCCAAATTACACCACTACAAAGCAGCCATTCTCCTTCATCTTACATATTGCCACCTTGTGTGGCATTTTTGCAGAGCCTCGGACACTCGTAAATTATAAAGAGTACAGTAGTGAGGACTGAGTGTAGTTTTTTAAAGACAAGTTGTCTAGCTACCAGCAACTGTTTGAGAAAGCAAAGCTACCAACATTGTATAGTAGGAGACTAAAAGACATCTGAATTTTAATGTATAAGGCTAAACATAATTTGTGCTCGCGGACTATTTATAACATGTTTTTGACTAACAGCCCCACTTAAAGTTCATGGCAGAGAGATTCTTTGAGGTTGTGTTGTCTTGCGCCGTATACAAAACCCATGTCTGGTCATGAACTTTTGTACCCACCCATTGCTTGCCGTGAATGTAAGTTGGAGGAAGTTCCATTTTCTTGCATGTCGAGTCGCTTTCGCTTACAACTAGCAGATTCTAATTTGCTCTGATTTTCTCGTCACTCTCGTATTCACTTCCGGTCTACGTTGAACTTCAGCACATTCTTTCCGCACAGAATTATTTTCTAAATGTCGATAAATGACTGACTGACCAGTAAATTAATAATCCGGTCCGATCCAGACGTGATTTCTTACAGTATGTTTTAATATACATACGGTAAGATTTTTAAACGTTAATTAATGGCGTAATTTCTAACAGTTGGTATGCTTAAATATATCTATCTATATGACATACATTACTACATATCGAAGTTTACCTTCATATTGTTCTTTTTTCGGCGTCCACAAAACTTGGATCGAACTGGATCGAATCATAGACCGGATCACGGATCGGATCACGGTTCGGATCACGGATTGGATCACGGATCGGATCACGAACCGAAAAAAAGTATATTTTGGAAAATAAAGAAAAAGAGAATAGTTTATAACTAGTAATACATAAATAAGAGAAAACAAACTGAAATATGTTAATTAAAATCAGAAATGTTGCGTGACAGGCCAAAATAAAGTCTACGGGGAAATAGTGTGGTGCAGGTCCCACTGGAATTTTTTTTTAATCCCTAAACCCCATGTAGTCACTTTCACGGCAGTGTCGATGAGTGTTGTGTAGTGCCGCCATGGACTAAGGCAAGCGAGAGGTAAGTATTTTTTCATCAGTCAGTTATTCTTTTTTTTATGATTGTCTCACGTGCTACTTATCCTTTATTCAATGTTATTTAGCACACGCGGGAGATCAAACGAGGTGAGGGGTAAGATTGTTTCAGATGTGACTTTGACTTTTTTCCTTGGAAAATTTACCTTTGACATAAATTCGCGGTAAAAACTTTGCTTCAAAGAGACGAAAAGAAATCGGGAAACCTTGAGAGAAAATGTAATCTATAGTTAGTTTGCTCATTGTAAATGATGTAATGCCAGCGGTATTTAATAAGTTTTAAAGTATATTGGAAATAAACAACTGTGTTTCTCCAAGTACTATTTCACGTGTAAACTGTACCTCAAAAAGTTGTCATGAGCTGCAGAAAGTGTTTGAAATGGCTTCATGGGAAGTTTAAGGTATTCATTCTTATTCATTCTATCATTATTGCAAACGGCATAGAATAAAAAGAA